GTCAACCAGCCGGATCTCGCGTCCACCGAGAACGCGCCCGACGGGTCCACCAGCTCGTAGTCGAACTGCCCGTTCTCCCTCTGATCCCTGTCGCGAGCCATCACCTGGAGCACGCTGAACCCGTTCGGCAGATTCTCCACGATGCTGATGTTGTACAGGTCCACCTCGAACTCGGGCAGGTTGTCGTTCAGATCGAGGACCTCGATCTCTGCTCTAGCCACGCCCGATCTAAGGGGGTTGTCCACTTGGGAAGCGTGGATTTGCAGGGTGAACGTGTTCGAGGGCAAGTTTCGCTCAGCGTCCAGGTCGATGGCACGTTTCAGGTACAGGGTGCCGTTTTTCGGGTCCAGCTGGAAGAAACCTCGCTCGTTCCCCGACGTGATGTCGTAGCGGACGGGCGTGTCGATGTCGCGGTCGCTGTCGGTCGCTTGGATCGGCGTGGAGAAGTTGATTCGGGCGAAGATCGGGTGTTCCTGTTCGAAAGGAGAGTTTAGAAAATCCCTCGAAGCGATTTGAGAATTGTTATTGAGGGGGAGGATTGAAAATTGAGAAGTTCGAATCGAGGGAGGGAAAAGTTGGGTACGCGAATTAATTTAATTTAAACGTTATTTAAGATAAAAATTGGCGAACTTTAGAGATTTGAAATTACTCGAGTACACGGAGAGTGAATAGCTAAGACTCGCTCGAGCGGAACAGAATTTGAGCAATGTTGCTTGCTTTCAAAGCAGTGTTGCGAATTTCATTTAAGGAAGATGATCGAAAGCTGGACGATTAAAATTCATCCAAGATTATAATATAGTTTCGTTGGATATTTCGTCGATATGATGATCTTAATATTCATAAATCAAAACAATATCCTCGATTCAACGATCCTCGAGCTCTTCGACGCGTCATCCGATTCAACCAATTTAATCACCTCTCCAACGCGTGATTCTCCAACAACCTCTCACCCAGCCCACATTAGAAACCCTCCACAAACTCTCGAACTCAATTATACTCGTGAGCCACTTGGACTCGCAATCGGCTCAATATCCCTAGCAAAATCCATACAAGCACCTTCCTCGTCGATCATTTAGTCTTGAAAGAAAAAACACGAACGTTTGTTTCGAGTTGTAAGTGTAAAATACATACACGCGATATCGTGCGAATCGAGGATGAAAGTCAATCTGCCAAGCGTTACTCTCGAGTTAAAATGGAATAAATCTCGTGGAACGAGTCGAGGCGAGTCGCATTGGTGGAAAGTCGAACGAGCAGCGATAAATATCGCGTCGTGCCTCACCGCAACGTTCCTTGTTTCTTTCTCTCCTGCAAAGAAATTTACACCTCAAGGTTTCCAACAAAGTATCGACCCCCGACATTCCCCACGTAATGTGGAACAGCCCAGATTATTAAGAGGTTCGCGTGAACAACAGAAACGGAGAAACAATTTTTTTTTTCCTCAATTGCTGGATCCATAATGGAATGAGATAATGGAATTAAAACGAAGAGAAATAAACTTTAACAATGATTGATTAGTGATTGGTAGCATAATAACGTTTTTTTTTTCTTTTTAGAAAGAAAGAAAGAGTAAAAGGAATTCGGATAGAAAAAAAAAAAAAAGAAAAAAAGGAAAAACGAATGTCGTGGAAGCTACGGCTCGATGGT